CCATGCCCCCCCGCCCCCTTCGTCCGTCTTTGATATACCTCAAAAATCTTGAAAAAAAATGCCGTAAATCAAAACTCGCGCGTTCCGCTTTTTTTTTTTTATCAAAAAATATTTACCATGCAATTTTTTTACGGATTCGTAACAATTTTACGGGTGGAAATAATTGGCGATGGGAGCGGTAATTGCAATTGTTTTTATTGGGTTTTTAATTGGTTGTGTGTGTTTTTTTTTTAAAGAAGGAAAGATGTAGGGGAATTTTCTAAACTTTGGTATTCGCGAATTACGGATATTATTGATTTTTTTAATTGATCCGGTGAGATCATCGCTGAATGGTCAACACGTTTTTTTGGGGAAGGGAGGAACCAAAAAATTTGCCATTCGTAAATGATGCGTGTCCGTAACGCTCCCTTTTTCTTCGGTTCTCGGTGTAATTCCGCTCTGCCTTTCGTATTGGCGTAATATATTGCATACTCATTTGAAAACTCATTAAATAAATTTGAAAAAAATTCGCGAGTTATGGGATTCCCACAATTTCTCAAAAAATTTTCCATTCTACCGGGTGTTATTAATATTTCACCCAAATATCAACATCCGATCAATTTTCCCTAGCTCCCTCATAAAAAAAAAATCTTTTATTGCATTTTTTACATTAAAATTTTATTGAAATAAAAAAATGTTTCAGCCTTACGTCACCCTCTCATTCCCATATATATTAATAATTCCCATTTATTGCTAATGTAAATAAATAATCGTAGCATCCGCCAAATTAAATTGTCATATTTTTTTTCATTTTAATTAAAAAATGAAAGACGGTGACAGGGACTTTACTGCAGTATTTTTTTTTACTGCAGAAATTTCCCTCACAATTATTTTATTTCGCCCCCCTAATTTATGATATATTGTGAATGCGTGGGCTAGTAAAACCAAAATTTTAGGCAATATATTTATAGTTTGGGAAACGTTACTATGTTTCACTCTGGTATTTGGCTGACCGTGAAAAAAGAGTTACGATCTTGTGCCACTCCACACCATCGAGAGACGTTAAACACAGGGCCCCTTGCTCACACGAGTTTGAGCCCTTCTACCACGCATTTGCGAATGTTCACAAATAGGTATTTATAACTAAACTCAGTAAACGTGAGTCACATACCGTCTGGGCACGTAGAAAGACTCAATAACCCGTGTGCATTCAATTTGAGGTAATTCAAGATATTTCATTGTTGCAATATTGCTAATTGCCAATGTTACCGATAAAACGAGTCCTTCGGAAAATTTACTTTTATCATGACCACCTGTAGACGCCCTTTCCAGATGATTCCAATTTATCATTTTTTTTTTTGTATTATAGGTGTATATTTTTTTTATTTTATATGAATAAATATATGAATAATAAATATAAATATATAATATATGATAATGTTGGAGATTATCTATTTATTTGTTATATTGATATATTTATCGGCAGATTATTTTTGTAGGGTAATTTTTTTATGGAATTATCCTGAGACCATGAATTGTTTGAAGTTTGATATTTTTTTTTTTTGGAATTTTGGGAATTTTACTCGATCAATTGAA